GTATAATTTTGTACACACTTTACAAAGGTCTATGTCGTGAGGTAAAAATTATACGAAAATGCGGTTTGCAGCAGTCGAAAGAGTGAATCGTTACCTTCAATTTCCTTTTTTATTGATTGTTGTACGATTTTTTTCCACCGAGTTATTGAATGTTAAAGTAGAAGTGATCACTTTTGCTTCATTGTTCAATAATTCGGTGAAAAAAAATCGTACAATGTTTAATAAAAAAACAAATTAAAGGTAAAGATTCACTCTTTCGACTGCTGTAAACCGCATTTTCGTGTAATTTTTACCTCACGCCATAGACCTTTGTAAAGTTTGTAAAAAATTTTTAGATTTGACGGATATCTCCATTTGTGTCCGTATAACTCCGTAAAGTATCAGTCGCATTGAAATTTCAATTATAGATTTCGAAAGTAGAGATTTCAACCTTTAAAATGTTTTTTTAATTTTTTGTCTGCGAAGATTTTTCATTGAATTATGGTATTCTGAATATTGCCCAATTTTTAGCGTGTTTGAAAGTGTTCCCTAGATTTTGTTGAGTAGTGTATATGAATAGATTCTAAAGCCGGCGGCACACGATGCTTGTTTCCTACTGGATTGCTAGCTGGATTAGAATCTTGCCACCGTATTGGATGTGATGCTGTCAGTGCCAACATCGCAGCCAATACAGTGGCAAGATTCTAATCTAGCTAGCAATCCAGCAGGAAAACAAGCATCGTGTGCCGCAGGCTTAAGAGTGTGCTGATTTTATACTAAAAATATAACATAATATTATATAGAACAGCTTTATATAATAAATATTTTACAACTTTATAATAAATATTAAAAAATAAATATTTGTGATTACGTAAAAATGTATAGTATACGAAAAAGTTTATACCCTAAAATTTTATTACATTTGAATGGAATGCGCGGTGTTTTGTGCTTAATTATTTAGTTATAACTATATTTATTATACGTTAAAGTTTTAGAGGATTTTTAGCGGTTTCCATTTAAAATCTGACAATTTTCTAGTGATTTTTTAAAATAAAACTGACGGTGAAACATATTTTACGTTGGCAACACTGGTCTTTATCGAGAGCCGATCTATCGACTCGACTCTCTGAATCCGAATCGAATCGTCGTAGCGGCGAACATCTGGGCAAGTGCCGGCCTGGCGCGGTGTGGGGGAAGAATCGAAAAATGTGATTTATGTGATGTGAGTTGTTTGTTGATGTTCGTCAATTCACATCAATTGATGTGTGAGCTCTGCGAGGGACGCTGCAACGTTAGCGAGTGCCAACTCAAATTGCAAGTTGCAACTTGCACTTTGTATTTGGTCCTGAGCAAAGAGATTAGGGAGAAAATAGAGACAGTTTGGAAAGTAAGGAGAGGAAGCTATGGAGGAGAGAAATTGCGAACGTCGTCCTTTCCATCTCGCCAGCGTGTTTCCAGGTATCCATTTCGACGTTGACGTCACTGACCTGCCTACAGACACCCCCCGCATCTCCAGACTGGATGTCTTCTTGCTGGCTTGCTCCATAATAATGCATGTCGTCGACATGGGTTTCGATTATAACATCGCCATCCAATATTACCTGGGTGGCAAAATAACGTATTTTGCTTGGACAATGTGCCTCATACTCGTTCCCTCTCTGATCAATGTTGTTATCAGCAGGAGGATGCAACTTCAAGATAAACAAGTGAAGTACTACATATAGCTGTACCAAGTTTAGCTCGCTTAACTTATTTCCGTCAGATTTCGAGTATATATACATAACATAAGTATGTTCCTTGATATAGACAAGTTCCAGTACACCGAACGATTATAAAACGACACATTTGTTGATTAAAAATGGATTGTGTTGTACGATCGCTGTTTTCTTGCAATTGGCGCCAGTTATACATTACTGGGAAACCCTGAAGTGTGCGTTAAAAGCACGTAAATGCAAGAAATCCGAAGATCGTGTCAATGAAAAAAGATATTATCTAAGGATGCTCAAAGAGGATCAAGATGTTGCCTTGTTAAGAGTATTTGAATGTTTCTTGGAAGCTGCACCACAACAAATCCTACAGCTAACTCTGATGCTAAAGCATTATCACAATGAAATTAATTTTGAATGTATATCTATACTTTGTGGAATATATTTATGCCCAATCAATCTCACATATATTTGTAAAGCTGACTAAAGATTTAGCACAATTGACAGCGAAGAAAAAAATTGCTCCAAAAACCTAGTTATTCCAATTTGTTGTCAAACAATTGTAGCTTTTTCAACCAACACAAAAAATTTCTATTTAATTTCTATTTTAATCAATCGATACTATTAAGCGATTCTTTTAACGTGTTTTTCATATTATTTTTCAGTTGTACATCAAGTAGCTAGTATTGTCAGCTCGCTTGCAAGCATGGGTTGGGCAATGGCCAGTTACCATCGTAGCATTCGATTAGCTCAACAAAATAAATTGAATATTGGTGTTATAGGAACTGTGTTACAATTTCTGTGGCACTTTAGCATCACAGGTACACATCCCACAATCAACAGATAAAATGATATTCCAATTGAGACATGTATTTTGGAAAAAAAATCACTGATTATAATTGATTATCATGATTACAGTGGCAAGAATCTTATCTCTCAGTGTTATTGCAAGTGTCTGGCCTCTATATACCGTAATTGGTTGCTTAATACATTGGATAATCATGACAATATGGATTTTGATCAATTCCCATGGGATATTAGAGTTTTGCCGGGCTTACGGTCGCCCACCACATATGCTGCCAACGTTTAAAGAACGCATTTATTCTAGTTTATTTGCCATAGTTATTGGCATAGTTTACATTTTCATATATTTAAATACTGTAGATAGCAATACATTTTGGAAACATCTATGTTTCTATATGCTCTGTTTTGCAGAAAATATTACTTCAAGTCTATTGTGGAGATATACCTGTCCTCCTGAAGTTAGAGAGGCTTGGTATTTTAACGTATTCTTTATTATTTGTATCGTTTCTTTTTTGCTAGGAATTACAGCAATGATAGTGTATTATACTAGATTTCACCCTTCAAAAAAGCAACGTGCTTCAAATTCACTTCAAGCCATGTAATCGTGGATATCTATTTTTTACTTCAAGGAGATTAAATTAACTTTGCATTATAGTTTACAAAGTATCTTTCGAGGTACACATTACGTATCTTGAAAGAAAAAGAATCTCAGTATTAAAATTTATATAGAGGAAAGCCCCCTATTATGAGATAGGCGCCTAATATGAGATAGCGGCATTTTTGCTAAACTAATAAACGCTATCTATTGGTTCCACCGTGAATTTATTGCTCTTGGATTGAAAACTTTAGTAGAAAATTCATTATTAGATCATGCCTGTAGTCATTGTAAAAAAAGATTTTAGAATTTTGATATCTTCAAGTTTCATTGAGATGAGCCTTTAAATCTTGTTTATTATTTAATAAATAAATATTTGGCAATAAATTCTTCATGTAGTGATAGAGTAAGGTCGTACTAATAGAAAAATACGGGATATGTTGAATTGTTTAATTACAGAAGTTAGATTTGATGATCATATAACCATAAGGCGTGGAAATCGTAATATGAGATTCCCAGGGTATTTCCAATATGAAATAACCCATGCTCCTCTATGTCATAGTGAAAATTGTTGCTAAAAAGTAAATGTTATTGTACTATGATAAAAAGGACAACCGGAATGAACGTCGAGTGTCTATTTCTGCGATGCTTAATTCCAACTACCTGAAGACGAGTTCTGGGTATAATCTATCGCATGCTTATTTTTCACGCACCCTGGCTGTGTTTGTTTGCATTTTAGAAACATGAAATAAAGTTTTTTAGTTCCAATATTGATATATCTTGCGTTTTACTATCAATTTCTCGGAGTATCTCATATTAGGAGCACAATTTTTTGAATTTGTGATTTGCTCACTTTTTATATTTCGCTAATTTGAAAAAAAAAAATGGAATTTGAATTAAATTTTATATAACGTTATCTTAAAGCTTATTAAATTCCCTTCAAAATGACCTATTATTTTTTTAAGTTCAATTTTATCAAGTTTTTTCAACAAGATAATACAATATAGTTTTAAAGTAACTCATAGACTGCGCAGAAATGTAAGTATATGGCTGTGTTACGATCAACAGAAGCCAACTAGATATTGTTTTTTTATATTAAAATCTTAATAAGAATCTTTTTTTTACACTTTTTTAATTTAAACTGTAAGAAATATCTCTCAGGGATATATAATTTATATGTTATATTCAATATATATAATGCTACTTGCAAATTTTTAATGAAAGATGTTAGATACATGTTATGTGATATCGATGCTGAAGACTGTACTTTTTTACAATAAAAGAATAAATTTCTGAATATTTAAAATAAAAAAGAACAAAATATTTAAAAAATTATTTTAATATATTTATAAAAAATGTTTTTCTTATAGTAGGAAGATTACATTACTAAGGATTTTAACATTTAACTTCAAAATAACAAAAAAAAATAGTACTCTACACAATATACATACATATATGCAGGGTTGGGTACGTTAATTTTTTCTT